GGATGGGCACATATATGCACACATGTGAGACGTGTCAAAGGTTGTAACCCCTCTTCGGCCAGTTTACCGGTACCCTCCGAGTGTTGGCAGTCAATGAGTATGGACTTTGTGTTTGGTCTGCCGAAGGACTCGGCGGGCAACACGTGTGTGGTGGTCGTTGTGGGCCGTTTGAGCAAGATGGCTCATCTTGTGACATTGCCGAACGCCATCGGCGGTGTGGGTACAGCGACGCTGCTTGTCGATCGTGCCTTTTACCAACATGGACTTCCGACAAATTTTCAAAGGCTGCTAATGGCTGCAAACTAGGAGTGCACTTACACGCTAATACTCAGTATGCGAAAAGAGAAATCCGACGCTTTGCCTTTGTCCAACAGAACGTAGACAGCACAACCGACAAAGACGCTGAGACTGTGCTCACCGCAAGCTGTACGCTGTCTTTGTTTTGGCGCGCCATCAGTTTTTACCTAACACGATAAAAGTCACAATTTATCTTCCAGTTTACAAAAACAAAGTCGAAAAGCTATTTATTGACTCATTTTTACCTTAACTACTTGCTAAACTATTGTCCAGATTGCACAAAAATCGAGTTCTACAAAAGGTAAAATGAACTGACAATCCATGTTTTTAATGAGCGAGTCGTGCTCGGGCTTCAAGGGCCATTTGCTCCCAGCTTGCGTAGTAAAGATTGATGCTACAAACTGTAAACGCTGTAGCGATGCCGACGCCAAAGCCTACCCATAGTCCTTCAATTCCAACACCAAAATGAAAAGCTAATAATGCTCCAAACGGAATACCGATAACATAAAAGGCCAGAACGTTGGTCTTTGCAGCTCTATTTTGCCACCCAACACCTTTGTAAATCCCTTGTATGACACAATTGAGGGAGTCAATGATTTCATAAGGAACCATCACAAGAAGTGCACCTGAAGCACGTTGAATTGCAATGGGGTCATTTATCACAAGACGCGGGATCTCGTGTCGAAGCATGAACACGATACCAGCGAAAACGCACGAGAGGACGAAGACTGTACTTAGTGTAGTCCGGCTGATCACTCGCGCCTTTTTAGGATGATTCGCACCCAAACAATTTCCAACTCGAATATTGCTTGCAATCGCAACACCCATAAAAACTGTATAAATTGAAGACGCGACGTTCATAAGCACAGCATGCGCACTTACTGCTACAACTCCATCTGGCAAATTTCCAGCCAATACTGCAAGGAGCTCATAAGCCCACCATTCCATAGCCATCATCATAAATGACGGTCCTGCAAGTCTTAAAAAAAGAGGCGCCAACGCATAAGCTTGTTTTAATTGCCAACCATTCCACCACTTGGTGTGATTGCCGCTTATGATAAAGTATGGCACAAGGCACAATGGTAATACCATATAGCCCAATGTTCTTGAAAGTGCTGCTCCGTGAAATCCCAAGGATGTCCAGTACGTGAGCATATAACCACCACCAGCATTGATAAACGTTCCGATTAAAGCAAATAATACCATTGGTCGTACAATATTTTGGGCTTGCAATACTTTCCGCAGCATTTCATATACATATAAAAAGGGTACACCAAACACGGTGACTCTGGAAAATTCCCCCGCCAATTTTGCGACTTCTGGATCTTGACCAAATAAAACTAGAAAGAACTCAGTATGCCAATTGAGGAGAAAAACTGGAATCAGACACGATCCGACTACTATTATTGCAGACTGCAAATAAAGACCGAGCTTGTCAGTCTTTCCAGCTCCGTAAGCTTGAGAACACAATGTATCGAGGGCTGATGTGAGTCCAAAGCCAATGCAAAGTGCTGATATATTGGTAAACATTGTGGACAGCGTTGCTGCTGCCACATACCGTTTCGTATCGGGAGATTGCATGTGTCCAACTAGTACAATACAAACAAGACCAGGAAGGTACTCAAGAGTGTATGTGATGACTACTGGGTATGCAAGTGCCATAGTTTTCCAAAATTCATCAATTGCCACAGGATCAGGTTCTTGATCTTGTTCATGAGTCAATTCTTGTGCGAGAGAAGCAACGTCACTCTCTGTTTCGTAATCGTGCTTCTTAATAACATCAAGAGATGCCGAGTAGGAAGGACTAACAGACGGAAAGCTTGTGCCACGTCCAATAATGGCAGGTGTGAACTCAATGTCGACCTCGCGGTCTTTAGAAAGCAGTGAGACGTGCTCCGAGATGTGTCCCATTACTCTCCAACAAGACAACTCAAAGAATTTTATAACAGTTTTAGATTGAAGTAGTACTTTTATACTCTTTTGATACATTATGATTGAGATAAAATGATACTTATTTTTTGAAAGAATCGTTTTACGTCATGTGTAAAATACAACTATTGGTTAAAAGAAAGTATGAAACACTAGATAGATCACAACATCAATCCTAGTATTTTAGCGAATTTTAAGAAATGAAAAAAGTATGAATGTAAATGGGCGGCACCAAGTTGCACAGATGCACCGAAGCACTTAAGCCTCAAGATGCACTGCCGGAATTGTTGCATTTCTCCGTCCGAATTCTTCTAAGACCAATTATGTCTTTAAAGACACAACTTAAAAGCACTTACGGTGCACAATCGACGGTCCCGATTCGTCGTATTCAGCCTTGGAGATCCACATCTGCTGGAATGTCGACAACGATGACAGGATAGAGCCACCAATCCAAACTGAGTATTTACGCTCAGGTGGGGCCACAACCTTAATCTTCATTGTAGATGGAGCAAGAGCCGTCAACTCCTTCGTCATACGCTCCCCAATGCCTGGGTACATGGTAGTACCACCAGAAAGCACAATGTTGCAGTACAAATCTTTACGAATATCAACATCGCATTTCATGATTGTCTGGAACGTGCAGTCGTGAATACCCGACGCTTCCTTACCAATCAGCGACGGTTGGAAAAGTACTTCCGGGGTACGGAAACGTTCATTACCGATGACAATCACGTTGCCATCTGGTAATTCGTAACTTTTCTCAAGACCCGACGATTCCGCAGCTGTCTTCATCTCTTGGTCAAAGTCCAATGCAATGTACGTAAGCTTCTCTTTGATATCACGCACAATTTCTCGTTCGGCCGTAGTAGTGAATGAGTAACCACGTTCTGTAAGGATCTTCATCATGTAATCCGTCAAGTCGCGGCCAGCCAAGTCGAGACGTACAATTGCGTGTGGAAGAGCATATCCTTCGTAAATGGGTACCGTGTGGGACACACCATCACCCGAATCAAGAACACAGCCCGTAGTACGACCCGATGCGTATAAAGACAGCACAGCTTGAATGTTCACGTACATAGCAGGCACGTTGAAAGTTTCAAACATAATTTGAGTCATACGCTCACGATTTGCCTTGGGGTTCAACGGAGCCTCGGTCAACAGTACTGGATGCTCCTCAGGTGCAACACGTAACTCGTTGTAAAAAGTGTGATGCCAGATCTTCTCCATGTCATCCCAGTTGGTCACAATTCCGTGTTCAATTGGGTACTTCAGTGTAAGCACACCACGCTTGGACTGGGCTTCATCACCGACGTACGCGTCCTTTTGGTCCATGCCGACCATAATTCCCAGGTGTTTGGGTCGACCCACGATCGAGGGAAAGACAGCGCGCGGAGCGTCATCTCCGGCAAAACCGGCTTTGCACATACCGGAGCCGTTGTCTACGACCAAAGCCTGGCAATCTTCGTCAGCCATTACTATTAAGGAGGAGGGGGAGCTTGTGAGTTGTTGAGCTGTTGCTGACAGAAGGAAACGGGAAATGAGCTTAAGTTGGAGCTAAGCCACGTGGGGGTGCCATCGACATGTCATCCCTCATTTAACATAGTAAAACCAAGTACAAATAACTATGTCAGTCATCCTCCAGGCAAAGCACAATAGAAAAAAAAAAATATTTTTCAACTTGTCGTTAACCAATTGGATAAGGCGAATTGTATCAATTTAACGAATGGGCAAAACTTAAATTACAAAAATGGGGAGCTACGAGGCCTTTTTTATTTTTGTTTCATTTTGGACACGTTGCAATTGATAAGAGAATAGCGAGATTGTAATGCAAGAAATTGTATCAAATCGTCTACATGAGCTTTTTTATGGGAACAAATTTTGGATCGCCTGGAAAGAATTCCCTAATTAGGGTTCAGTATCTTCTGTTTACGTCGGGTTGTTACTATACTAGATCGCTCCATATCTAATCATTTACGAGTTTTCTGAACTCGCACGGACCTGAGACACAAAGACGACGGAATGTTTAAGTCAAATTGTAAGGAAAGAAAAAAGAGCAGAGAGTATCGTTGCAAATAGCGATCTACACATATCTTGTCGAGGGCTTACGTACCTTTTCGACAACACGACAGCTTTGTATCCTCGTCGTGAAAAACAGAGGTAGTGAAAGCGGCCTTTATGTAGTTGAATACTCTGGAAGAACATAGTCGCTGATTGTGTGTTCGTAATGCGTGTGATGCCCAATTCATAAGAGAAAGAATGGCTTGAGGAAGCTATTACCCTGTATAGTATGTGTATATGCTTAAATTTGCGTCCAGTTCTAGAACTGAATTTTGGTTTTTTATTGACTATCTTTGCTGGAGATACTATCTGTCAAATGAAAAAAACAATTTCACTTGATACTTGCGAGTATTGTATTCTTGCGATTCCTAACGTGAAATTTAAAAAAACGACTTGAAGCATGTCAGGCAAATCATTAACATTTCTCGGCAACATTAAATATATACGTTTGACTACATCCAATTACAAAATATATGTATCGGTAAAAGCAAGCTTACAGCTCAATCGTAAACAGACCTCTCCTTCCTTATCGTTTCCATTCTTTCGATCTTTTGGATTTTCACAATTCCACAAAATTTTAATGTAAATTTTGTCCGATTATAGCACCTACCCCGTTACATCATCCTGGACCGCTATTTTAATCTTGTCTTTTAAAAAGATTGAGCGCTTAACGAGCACCCATTGCACTAGGATTTTCACTCCATCCTTTGGCCCTACAGTGTCTCCCCCTGATGCGAATTCACTTTAGAGAACCATGTCTGCATCGCCATTAGACAGCTCAGCAAAGCTCCGAGAAAGGCGCAGACCTTGTGACCGACGACCGTAGAGCCATTCCTGATGAGGAACCCGAAGTAAGTCGACAAAATTTGCAGCGGGGTTGCCGTAGCTCTTTCGCTTAGAGGAAGCTTGGTATAGCTCGGTGACCTTCGTTCTATACTAAGACCAGTACGACTGTAGAGGATCGAGATCCACCTACTCCAAGAGTAATCACAACCATATTCAAAAGCTAATTAACTCTTATTTCTCGGTTTAATTTGCGGCAAAGCTGCCTGTATCTAAATCTATCGGTTATATCTATTTGGTATAACTTAATCAAATGTGTAACTACTGGCTGTTCCAGCCACGTACTGACTTCATATTTGAGTGTAACCACAACATTGTGTGGTCACATTATCTTGTGTAACCCATATATTTGTGTGATCGCACCATTTTGTATGAACCACAGCCTTCCTACCAGGGCACGTGAAACCTCGTTTCAATCTCCCCCATCAAGATTGTGAACACCTAAAGTTCACATTCAACTGCCACCTCGAACGACGCTGGCGTGTCTAAGACACCGAAACATCACCAGGACCTTTTTCGCAAATTCTCTGCTCAATGGGCCTTGTGTCGAGGACACGGAAGACAACCGGCCTCGCTGGTTCCAAGAACGCCCGCGGGCAAAACTCCTCTTCGTCTCCTACACGCGATGCAACTTCGGCCAGCACGTCCGCGGTTTCAAGGGAAGCAGAACCCAATCTCTCGGTAACTGAGTACCGCGCAATGCATTGTCAGCAACAGAATCGCGCGCCCATCAATACAGACGCGATGTCTACACCCGACCGCGGAATTACCTCGTCGAGAATATGGAGAAAGTCGACTACGAGTTGGATACTCCTTTCCCAGGATGGGGAGTAGAAGAGAACGAGGTGCCTTAGCGGCGCGACGTAAGCCCTGCTCGAAACTTGCGGACGCCGTGTCCTTTTCCTGAAATTACGACTTTCGGGGGAACATATTACCGATTTGTCATTACCGATGACCTCGACGAGGCACAGCAGCAGCAGCTGGATGCTGGGGGCGGATCTCATGCGCGCGCATCCACGGTCGGTTCTTGGCCATTATGTGGGTTACGGCTTCCGCTCGGCGGATCCCGCCA